GAAATTGGGGGATAAGGTGGCTGGGAAGGAAAGTGGAAAGTTTAGCAGTGCCAGGAGAGATGTGGCAGCTGCAATCAAAAGCAGCCTTGTCCTCCACACTGAGGAAGGTTGGAAGATTTTGGTGAGGTGGTGCCCTGGAGCGCAGGATGGTCCTTTCTGTTTGGCGCATCCAGGCCTTGCTGACCCCGGAGGATGCGGTGCTGTCGGATGAGCTGAACCATGCCTCCATCATTGACGGGATCCGTTTGTGCAAGGCTAACAAGTACCGCTACAAGCACATGGACATGCAGGACCTGGAGGCCAAGCTGCAGGACGCGCAGGTACGGAGGTCTGCTCCCACCCCAGTGCAAGGGTGCTCGGTTGGCTGTGCTTGTCACCTCAGGGTGACGTCTTCACCCCTGGGGATGCTGCTCTCCCTCCCACAGAAGCATCGTCTGCGGCTGGTGGCCACCGATGGTGCCTTCTCCATGGATGGTGACATTGCACCCCTGAGGGAGATCTGCCAGCTAGCCCAGAAGTATGATGCCCTGGTCTTCATTGACGAATGCCATGCCACTGGCTTCCTGGGACCCAACGGCCGGTAAGGGGCTGTCTTACACCCTGTTTCTTCCCCACAACCCCAGCTACCTCTGAGGCAAGGCCAAAGGTGGTGATTACCGATGTGTTTTTGTGTGGGGCCTCCTGGAACCAGTGTTTCTTGAAGGGTTCACACCCCACCTTAGCCTCAGCCCTCCCCTCGTGGTGATACATCCCTTTTGGTTACCTGAGGGGATTGAAGGGAGATACTTTCACAATGATCCACCCCAATGGGACAGCCACTTCTCTCTGTGTGTATGGGATAGCGTGACCTTCTCATCTGCCTCTCCTGGGAAGCACCTGGACTTCCTGATTTCCAGATCCTTCTCTCAGCTATCGCTTTCAAATGCTCAGGTCTTGGGGGTTTTGTGGGGCTAGCTTACACAGTTTGATTAGTTCCCTCAGGGCAGCTTTTTCCCTCAACTCTGGAGACTCTCCAGGTGCCAAGCAGTGCCCTTGCTGCAGGTGTTTGCTGGGAACAGGTGCTTCACATGCTTGTTTTGTTCAGGCATGTGAGCACCAAGCGCTCTATTGCATGGTGCTTTCTGCTATCCACTGGGAGGTAGAGGCCTGTGTGAGACAACACCTGTAGGAACAAGCAGTGGGTCCCTCCTCTGATGGAAAGATAGTGGAGGAGATGACAAGAGGAGAAAACCATCTCCGAAAATGCCAAAAGTTGCTCTCTGAAGAGCTCCTTTCCAGCTCTCTCCTCTTCAGGCAGAGCTCATGTGGGAGCTGGGAAATCCACATCAAGCTGTGAAAATGGGTGAGATGTGGCAACTAAGCAAGAAAACTTGCCTTGTTTTCTTACCAAAGCCATGGCAAATGTTTCATCCTGGATCAAAATGATGGCGCAAGAGGCATCTATTAAGAGAAGGGATGCCACTCCTGGTGGCAGTTCATCACTAAGAAGAGAGGTGGTCATGCAGATCTTTAATATATTCCAGACCCTGTGGTTGTACTGAGCTTTCTCAAATCGAAGTCTTCATAACAAAGAAATCATGCAATGGTTGGTGTGTCTTGTAATCTTCCCTCCTTGGGGCATGGTAGCCATCCTGCGAGTTGAGGTAGACCTTGTCACTCTGTCCCAGTGGGCTCTCTGGTCCTACTGGCTCCAAAAACAGCTGTTCGACTGCACTGAAGTGTGTAAGTGCACAAGAGCTTGAGGAAGAAGGAACAGTTACTGAGTGCTTCATGAGTTGTGCTGGTTTCAGTGTGAGCCTGATGCTGTTGTCTACAACACTGTGCATCGAGAGAGCCACCAGCTGGGTGGCCATGCCCTGTCCTGCCTTTTTGGGCTGGAGAATGCAAAACTGAAGAGCACATTTGCCATGTCCGGTTGGTTCCACTAGCACAGACCTTGATGCAGGTACTTTAGGCCTGTGTGCATTTAGGGCAGCACATCAGCTGGGTGCACAGCCCACCTCAAAGGACATCAGTTACTCTAGCCAGGCAACTGTGTTTCCCTGGTGTATGCTAATGGTGTGACATCAGAGGTGTGTGCAAGACCTACATCAACAGCTAGCGCTCTGTGTGGAAAGTTTGAGTGCTCTCCCATCTGGAAGAGAGAAAGAACCCCTGATCTTATCTCGGGAGATCCCAGCTCGATCTTTCTGCAGGAGAAGGGAAGGTCAGCATTTGGGCTGAGCTAGCACAGGAGGGTGTTCTTCCTTTACCAGGAGGAGGGACACCAGAGACCTGGCGGGTGGTGCTTTGTTTCCCTTGAGGCACCAGGTGTAGAGCAGCCTCCCTGGTGCTGGCACAGCCGTTAATGTGACTTTCCTTTTTCTACAGGGGTACTGATGAGCTCCTGGGTGTGATGGACAAAGTCACCATCATCAGCTCCACCCTGGGAAAAGCTCTTGGAGGAGCTGCAGGTGAAGGCATTTTCTTGTCCAAGGCCCTCCATGCCCTAAAAAGCTCCACAGCATTGCTTTGAAGTTTCCTTCCTCTGCCTAATGATAGAGCAACAAATGCATGTTATCCTCTTCTGCTGGTGGCATGAGGCTCAGTCTGGGATCCAGCTGCAGTGTCAAGGGAGGTCTTGCCATGTGCTTTTTCAACTGTCATCTTCCCCATGCATTTGCCTTTGAGGTCAAGGTGGAAATGCTCTGCAAAATGTATCAGCTGTGATTTTTTTTATGCCTGGCTTGTACTGAAATTCCTG